TTGTTTTGTTTTGTCAGAGGTGGGTGCTCCATTACTGTTAGAGAAGCTGTATTAGGAGAAGTCCTTAAAGGACCTTTTCATACTAGATGCCAGTTCAAATATTGTAGGTTCTTGAATTTGGCAAAATAACCCAATATAGTCCAATAGTTCATAATAGTAGTGCGTTATCAGCAGAACTAGTAATTGTCAGAAGTTGTCGACTTGAGCCTTTTACAGCTCAGTATATTAATATGGCATTACTTTTTATACCTCTTGGTTATACTTTTCTGCTGGATGCTTAAGACCAAGTTAAAGCAAGACCTATATAACTAAAAATATAACTTTCGTATCTGACAAGGTCAGTCAAATCCCCTCAGGATTTACCCTGAAACCATGTATGAAAGCTAAACTTTGATTTGCAAGTTATACTAAATATACCAGAGTTACTTTTTGGATAGATTCATTTCTTCTCTTATAGACGTTCTTTTCTAACTCTATCATGTTAACCCAGAGAATTGTTTGTCTTTGGTACATTTAATTTGCTCAAGTTATTCTCTCTTTTCTATCCTGAAAAAGCTTACTTTCTGCTGTTTTGAGCTCATAACTCAAGTTTTCATCTGTTTAATTCTTATATGAAAACATACTTACTAGAATTTCACTCCGTTTTCCTTTTTTTTTCTCTTAAGTGATATGTCTGGGATAAAATGTCATCTAAAACTCACGTGCGACTACCCCTGGCCTATGGTGCTCCTATTTCCAGACACAGCTTTTTAGCGGGATAACAACTTCTCTCCAAAAACACCATCTGGTTTATTAGAAATTTCACATACAGTTTGATACAATGAGTTTTTCAGTTCAGTGCATAATAGATCTTTGGATTATCACTATTGTAAATGAGAGAACATATATATTTAGTGGGGAAAAATTATTTTGGATCTAATCCTGGTGAATAAATTGAGCATGCAGTCTGAATGAATATGCCATGGTGAACTCGAGAAGTTTAGTATTGAGACTAGTGGAAGGGATAGAACCCTGGATACGGATGTCTCCTTAGTCTTATGATTTTTTCAGATTATTTATATTTTCTCAGACTCCTCAGTTTTATTGCAAGAGTTTGTATACCATGTCATACCATGTAGGAAGGCATTAATTCTAAAGGTAATAGGAAGTACTAACCAGAATGCAGCGAAATTGGATCTATTGTGTATTTTTGGTGGAACTATAAATGGTACAGCCCCTTTTTAAAGGGTTTAGTTATTCCTCAGAGAAATGAAACATCATGACCACATGGCTCAACCATTCCACTTCTAGGGACATGCCCTACCAAACTCAAAAGAGACATGTACTCTAAATACATAACATCATTATTCACAGCAGGCAAAAAGCAAAATCAAAGTCTATCTTTTGATGATGAGAGAAAATAACATTATATATAACAGTAAAAATGCAATGAAGAACTGACTTATGCTACATGGGTAAGCCTTGAAAACCATATACTTAATTTTAAAAAAAGAGAAAGAAAGAAAAGAAAAGCCAGACACAAAAAGTCACAGGAGCATTTTTCATTTTTTTTTTATTTATTGCATACAGGGTCTCACTACACAATTTATTCTCATAGTGATCCTTTTGTCTCAGCATCCCCAGTGCTTGTAGGTGTGCACTACTACACCCAGTTTTAGGGCTGGCAGGGAATGCTCAGTGTTCCAGGGCTGGCACAGCTTGTGGTGCCGGGAATCATACCCAGGTCCTTGTGCTTGTCAGGCAGGCTCTTAGATCCCTGAGCTATCTTTCCAAGACCCATTTAAAGTTCTATTTGTATAAAGTACCCAGAATAGACAAATCCATAGCCACAAACAGGAGGTTTCTAGTAGCTGCAAGGGCAGTGGAAGGAAAATGAGGGCAACTGATAATGGATACAGGGTTTCTTGTGTGAGGATTGAAATCTCCTGGAATTCACAATGATGACAATTGCTTGATATCATACATTTTACAGGGGTGCATTTTATGGTACATGGATTTTACATAAATGCAATAAAAATTTCAAGAGTCTATACACAGAGATAAATATAAACAAGTACATTTACTGTCAAAAAGTCTGATGAAGTTTAAATATATACTTAAAACTGTAAAATATTTACATCATAATTTAAAATACTATATAATGCTCTAACACAGGCCACATTTATAATTCATGAAGTTATTTTTCATGTAGTATAGATACTACATATTTACATTTGAGAATTTCCAGAAAATATAACCTTTTCATGCACAGTCTGATCATATTAGTTTCCCCCATACCTTCAATCTTAAGCCCTTTCTTCAACTTTTCTTTCCAACATGTTACGTTAATGGAAGTTGAGGACAGCTTTACTATGGACAGTTGTGGCACTTACTGATCAAGAATTCTTATTGCCACTTCTAACTGGAAATTCCATAAGAACTTTAAGCATTGCTTAGAAAGAAACATAAATACTCACCCAAGTTTTCCCCTCTTTCAGAACACCAAAGTGTACAAAATAATACTACTAGTTAATGACCGTTAGACATCTTCACTTTTTGAAAATGCACTAGATGCTTTAAATAGTGAGTCCTTAACATGGATTTAAAATCTCATATAGTCTACAAGAATTTTAGACCTAAAAGTACCACACTTTAAAACTATGAAAAAACACTATGATAAAACACTATGAACTTCACACTGGTGAGCATTTGTTTCTTTTTAAAATACATTTACTTAAGATCTAATATTAATTTTTCAATAAACTAAGAGATCATGATGTAAGATAAGTAACATAGTTTATAGTATTGAATTAATAGCTATGGAAGATTATGTTATAGGCAGTGTAAGTGAAAGAGAACACAATGTCTAAGAACAAATTTAAAAAGTATTGAATCCCATAGGGATAAAACAATGAACACTGTGCTTAGGAATTGTCCCCCAAAGCTTGATATATAGTTTGCATTGTGCACTAATAATGTCTTTCCTGGACAGTCAACATTGGGCATTGATGTCCGGGGGGTTCTTAAAAGTTAGAAATAAAATACATTGGGCTGATTTGTTTTCTCTGTACTCTAGATAATTCCCATTTATCCCCACAGCAGTAAGTATCCAATTAATAATTGAAAAATGGTGAAGTACAAAAAGCGATTCTTTCTCCATCAAGATTTGAAAGTGATGAAGGAGAAACAGGAAAGAAATTCTGAGATTCCACAGTCTTTGACTCTTCAATTTTGCTTTGAAGAAAATGTGAGCTACCTTTAGTAGCCACCATTTTGTAATCCCAAGAACAGCTAGGCAAAAAAAAAAAAAAAAGTTCTTCTGGCAGAAGATTGGTCTTGTCACTGAATTCTGATCCACTGAGGTCCCAGACCCTGCTGTAGAAATGGCAGGCATGACAGGCAGGAAAGGCCCAGGCTGTCAACAGCTCTCAACCTCTCTTGTCTTGAGTATTTAGCTCCCAGGACACACAGTGTCCCTGCAAGTATAAACAAGGGCGCATGTTATCAGAATATCCTGCACAGTGGCATTGGCAACATAACGGTTCTCATGGCGGTAGTGTGCATACCCCCAGACATGACTAAACACTACCACCAAGGCTATTCTGTTAGGGCAGAGAAACTAGAGTTTATGTCACTGTGAGGGTAAATACTTGTCAATACACACCTGTCAAAACCCTGCACTATACAACACAAATAACCTGACATTAACTGAGAAGTTTACTTCATGTACCTATCAGACCATCAGTTGTAAGAAATGAGCAGTACTAATGCAAAATCTTAGTTATAAGGCAAACTGGAAGTGAAGGAGGGAGGCAATATGCTGGGGCTCTGTACTTACTGTTCCATTTTCCTATAAATCTAAAGTTTAACTTAAAAATCCACTCAGTAGGACTATATCATCCCAAATCCTCACACTCACAAGCAGATATTTGACAACACAGATTCTAGAACCAGATGGTCTGGGTTTGAATTCTGACTGTGCCACTAAGTAGCTTTTAGATTTCAGGCAAATAACTGTCCTGCACTTCATTTTTTCTTCTGAGCAGTAGGAAATAGGGTAAGAATCCCCATCTAATAGCACTCCTAGCGTAGAACACTGCCCGAACACACTGAGTGCCGCATGAGATACCATTGTGATTTTTGTCATTCTATAATGAAATAATTCAAGAACTGCAGATCTTAGTTCTTTCCTCTTTCTACAAAGAAAACAACTTTCCAGGAAATGAGCCTCCTAGAAAATGGCAAGGTTTTCTCTTGGGAGGGTGGTTAAAGAGAAACAGATTTCAGAGAAGATGGTCTCTATCATTATTGTGTCATTTTTAATGTTACCTGTTTTTTTAAACTTAAATATTTTCAGGGGGGATCTGTTGGGTTTTGTATTCTTGAAGACTGTGCCAGGACCTGTTGGAAAAGTGAAAATGCTAAATAAAGCACTTTTTTTTCCAAAGAGAGAAAACTTTATAGCATATTCAATATCTTGCTTTCTACAGGAATGAAACTTACCTGCAAGGAACAAATGTTTTTACTGCAAGAGAAAGAAAATCACTAATTTAGATTAAATGACTTTTAAGGACATCACAAATAGAGACACATTGTGTAAGGGACAAACTTGAGTGTGGGACACATGTTTGGATATTCCTTGAGGGATATTTCCACAACTTAACATGGCATTCTAAATGACCTTTCTAGGAAGCCCTTTATTCATTTCGCTAGAATACTAATTATGGCATTCTCTGTGCCACTCTAGGGGAACCATAGAATTCAATATAGGTAGTATCTCCAAATATTGTGCAGTGTTAGTTCCACTAATACTGATACTTCTTAAGCCTCCCCCAACTTCAAGTTGCACTTTGAATTCTTTATCCTAAGACTTTTGCTTAATTACACAGTAGATTATTATTGTTTATCCAATAACTAGATTTTGATAATTATTTAAATTTGCAAGAAAGACCATAACTCATGAATGAGAAAAACCACAGACTTTCAGGATGATTTTTGGAGTACCTCATGAATCCCCTCACCTTTCTTCCGAAAGTTTTTCAAAAGCAAGAGGAGAAATGATCCCACTGCCATGAGGGAGATTCCTGCAGCAGAAAGCTGAGCTGCCAAGGAAATGTTAGAGGCTGCAGGAGCTAAGGGAACAAGAGAGGGAGAGCCATCACACACAGTAATGGGTTTTCTGTCCTGTCTATTGGACCTTTTCTTCATATATTGTTTACTAGGAGTGAAAGAGTCATCTATGTAAATGTATAAGGCACAGATTGTGGCATGTGTACCACATCACCCTTGAGGGTACACCATTCCCTTCCCACACCAGAGAGAACTCTAATTTGCCAGCTTCTCACATAATGCCACATAGTGCCTTGGATAATATTCTCTCTCTCTCTCTCTCTCTCTCTCTCTCTCTCTCTCTCTCTCTCTCTCTCTCCTCTGTCTGTCTCCTTCCCTATCTCACTTTCCTCCCTCCCTCTCATTTTTCCATATCTCCCTCCTCTTTTTACCTTCAGACCTTCTTTTTCCAACTATTGGAGTTCTATCTATTCTATCAACATGCTACTTGTTCTATTTCTTTTTCCATTAAATATTGACCAGTTTGTTAACATAAGCAGCCTTTCAGATTTGCATATAATGACTACTTAATCAGTGAACATTGTAGCTTCCCTTCTTCTCTCCAGTCCCCTAGAAAACCACCATCAATCAATGCTTCACCTTCACAGGTAGGCAGCATCCCAGACCATTGTCCTGTGGCACCACATGTCAGAACTGCAGAGCCATTGAGTATCCATCCTTCAGGACATGCAAACTTGCACACTGTGCCAAACACAGGCTCACCGCTGCAGCTCATGTTGATCTGTGCCAGAATTTCTGGCCTTGAGCAATGTGCCACTGTAAACAACAACCCATAGGCAGAGGTCAGGAAATGACAGCTGAAAGACTTGTACATCTGGCAAGTGTAATTCATAAGCACTTTTTAGTATTCAGTTTGTAGGAAATTAGGATCAAACAAACTGAATAACTCAGGTTCAGTGATTTATGAGCTACTTAACCCATATCCTAAGTCTGAACTCAGGGCCAGCCAAATAGCTCAGAGGATTAAAGTGCCTGCAAACAGGTGCAGGGGCCAGGAGTTTGATGGCTTGATTCGTGTGCCTATTGTGCTGGACCCGCCCCTGGGGCATGCAGAGACAGCAATTGAGACTGGGTGTGGCGGCATGCATCTGCAATCCCAGCTCTTGGGAGGCTGTAAATAGGGGGATCACTATAAGTCTGATCTAGTAGTGAGACTCTGAATACCCTGTAGACCCTTCCCTAAAATGCAAATTAATTAATTAATTAATTAATTAATTAAACTAAGTCTGAACTCAGTGGTACCTTCACAGGAGGGGACTGCTTGGGTCCATTGTCCCTGCGAAGTGCATTCAAGTTCAGTTGATCCATGTAAGTCAAAGCCTTCCATGCAGTGGAAAGTACAGGAAGACTTATAGGTGAATTGCCCAGTAGGGGAATGCATGCATTTCATCATGCTATTCGGGGGCTGATGAACAGCATCACAGGTCACGGCTAGAAGACACAAGAGAGTACTTTAGAGGCTTATCTGCACTGTATAACAAACAGCAGGTCTCTCAAGGTAACCAAGTCTCACAGCTCTGCAGTGGTTCTTTCCTTAAATAAAAATAAAAACAGTGATTGTATCTTCAAATGTGGGCTTCTCATAGTCCCAGTCTCCTGTGGAGTCACACAGGAGCCTTCCAGGTCCTTACAACAAAAATCTCTGCTCACAAGAGAACTCACACTTTAGAAACCTTCCAAAGCACTAGCAAGACAATTCATGTTTCCTTGCTCAGGGATGGCTAAGGCTCTGCCCTGAAAAGCTGGGAGAGCAAAATGATGGTCAGTAAATAGCTTGGTAGGATTAGAAACTATTTAGTTTTTGATGGCACAGTTCACTTGAGACACAGCAACATTCAAAGAACTCAAGATGATTCTTTAATATTTCCTGAACTGTGGGTAAGAAGGCAGTGTTTTCTTCAAATTCCAAGCCCCATATAGACAATGGCACTAAAGAAAGGATAGATTTTAATAGGAATATTGGTTCCTAGGCACAGCTTTTCTGATATGCAAAAGAAGTTAGGGCCCCGGGAAAGATATTGCATAGTCAGAGAAAAACATAACCATCCTGGATGCTTGTAGATGTTACCCAAAAGAAAGGAGAGGAAAGCTAAGTAAAATGTGTGTGCTTTGTGGTTTGTTTTTTTTTTT